ACTGCCAATAGGATCACTGGATTTGTTAACAGTATCCCGGAATTGTCCTGCAAATTACCGTCCTTGTTAATATGCCCTGCTGATTCGTCGCGAAAAAGCGCTCTACTGGCGAATCGACTGGATGTGAGCGCCGCAACATCCTTTCTTCTCTCTTCCGTTTCTCTCTCATTCGATTTTTTCTCATCAGTGAAAATGAATGTGAAAAATAGACGTGCACAGAGGCTTGTTTGAATTTAATAAATTTTATTGCATCCGAACAAATTTAATTATTGGGATGCTGCAAAGAAATTAGTGTTTTGATCAGTAACTACAATTGTTAGACTTCTCATATCTCTCTGTCTGGAATATCACTCGAAAGTTTCACGGCCGCCGATGCGCTCTTAATAAATCTGCGTGATAATTCAACACGCCTCGGACCTGTAATTCATATCTCGCGATCAGAGAAATTGAACATGGATTTGATCTTCGTGAACTGCTGTGATTCATAACCCGTGCTATTCGCCGATAACGCGATGCCGACGACGTTACGCAGCCCGAGTACGGTAAAATTGATTACAATGACAGCCGATAGTAGCTCTGCATATATACGTTCTGAAATTGCGGCGTTAGGTCTCAGCCATAAAATTTTTATCCCTCCGCTAAGCAGGTGCACTCCGCGTAACGTCGGCCGTACGTCGCGTCGTGGGATATTATGCTTTATACGAAGCACTCTCGAAGTCCTCTTCTTTTAAACATATCGCGAATTGCGGAGAGAAAACTTACGATCTTTTATCATCATCATTTTAGCCGTTCGGAGGATGCGGAAAATCGCATTTTTGCATCGTTTCTTTTTATATCGTTGGTTATTATAATTTATATTTTCACTTAAGTAATTCCTTTTGTACTCTTTCATTTTCCCGTAACGTTCTCAGGGAATTTAGTCCCAGAGTGTCAACAAAACGTCTATTTATCTTTTCTATTTCTACGATGTTTTCAAATCTGAATTTACGGACGTGTCTCTTTCAATAATGCTCGACGCTACGTTCTCTACCCGCTCCTCTTTAATCTCGATTAAAATCGTGAAATCACTCTGAGAAATAAGGGATCCTTTTTTCCCACTGTGGATTGTCCATTCTCGTTATAATGGGAAAATTTTCAGCCGCAATAACGTCGATGAAATATACGCTCCTCAATTTCCGCCGCACCAGAGAGAGCAGCAGGAACACCGGCCAAAAACCGTAACCTCCGCGCAGCATAGGTACATCAACCGCAATTTCTCAAGGGCGGAATATAATTTCTGCCGCGGGATATAACCCTCCGGCTGGCCGTCGTGAAAATAAGCAGCTGTGCCGATGTATATATGGGCGCGTCGGTCGGTCACTCTTTCGAGCTGCCCAAAATTGGCGTAATTTCGCTCACCCTATCGCCCGGAAATGATAGCATCTGTCGAATACGGCTGCTCGACCGTTAAGAGATTTTACAGGGCTGATACGACCGGCGGATGCAAATACGTATACATTCATGATTAGTAGTTCCCTGTACGAATTATTCCGTGCGTGATGTTTTTCTCGAACTCGATTGTAGGATTCGTACGAGTGTGAAGAACAACTGCTTAATCAAAAGATTGTGAATAATTGTGATGAAAGTATATTCGTTACCATATGTATAAGAATTAATTGAATGTGAAATAATTTTGCGCAAGCTATTATATACTAGGTTGTTCGGAGAGTGAGTGGGGAACAATTAAAATGAAATTTTTGTTAAAGTATATTAATATAATTAAGTTTTAACATATTCTCTCCATTCCGAGCAACCATTTTCTATTCATCATTTTAAACAGAGATAGAAAAAACATTCGAAATTAATATATTTTCGAGAGAGAGCTGAACGAAATTGGATTGTATTATATTCTTCGTGGGGAAAGAGCGTTATTACGCGTAATATGTGCTGGTATGATCGTGGATCTTATGTAAGGATCGAATGTTAAAATGAATTCATTGTCGCCTACAGTAGTGATTGGATTTTTTGTCGGTCTGAAATCTGGATTAAGCGATGAATTCAAGCCGATGAAACGTCTCGAATTTGTCGAATCATCATCATTATCATCATCGTGATCGTTGTTGTCGTTACGGTGCAGTATTGATAAATGCTCGACGCAATTACAACGAGCGACGGTGAATAATAGCTAATAATTAATTTCAACGTTAATAAATCTCATCAAGATACAGTAATGCTTGGTAGTTAATAATCATTCATTTGAATAAATTTCAGACTAATACGGATAATTAATAATGTGACAAATAATAATGATATTAATTCGTATTAATGCATTTTCTCCATAATCACCGTGAAATAATAACGTGCATAGATCGTCTTCGCGCAGTTAATAAATTTCGCTTCACCATTTTATCGCTCCTCGCTTCTTTTTTTTTCTCTCTTCCCTTCTCTTTTCGCCCGCACCGGTAAACGCATTTATATCGCAGCGGTGGTTTCGCTCTCCTCCGGGGGTAACATACGCGAAACGTACGTGCCCTATCGTACACACCGTAACACCGCGGGAGTTTCTCTCAGAGCGGCGGCCGATCGATCGAGCGAGCGAGCGAGCGTCTGTGAGAAAGAAAACGTCAAATTCACCGGCGTGACTCAGCCGGACGCGACTCATGAATAATTCATTCGGGCTTAATTAGTCGGTGGGTGGACTGGAAAAATGTTTTCCGTAAATACGTCCCGAGAGTAGATCTCTGCATAAATCGATAAATAATTCAACCTTCTTCGCCTGTGGATTACGCGCGTTTAGCAAATTGTCCGTCGATCGATTTATTTGAGAAACGAAGAGAAAAACGGCCGGTTTCTACGGCGAAGGTCTGCGATAAAAACAATCGGGAATCGCTCGACGAGATGTGTTCACCGCGGAATCTCGTTTCGAATTCAGTCGAGGGGCGCGCCTTCAAAGGTAAGGGAGAAGTTCTCGGGAAAGAGGTTTCGTTTATCGACGATGAAGCGACGGTCGTCGTGTAATCCGCCGCCGAGCTTGCAACGTGAGCGAGCGAGCAGATTTTGCCCGGTCGGAAGCCAAAGGCGAGCTTACACGACCGAACGCTCGTGTACGCACGCAGTACGGCTGATTTTATGTTCGGAACCGCAGTAGGTGTATCCGTTTGATATACGGCTCGATGTAAATTTCCAGATAGAAATCGATATCACTCGGAACATAGACCCGCTCGCTCGTAACACAGCTCGCTTTTATAGCGAGAGCCACGGCTCTAAAGTTCCGTGAGAACAACTTCAATTTTAGAAACCTATGTACCGGTCTCGCATTACAGGGTAACTTCGCTTTTATTTACGATCGCACGATGTTCCACGCGACAGATTGGACCATGGTAAACCGTATGTTGAACATTCCGGGGAATTATCGAGTTGATGTGATAAATTTTTCATTCCTTGTAGACTTGGACGTTAAAAAAGAAATAATCTTTATGTTGATTGTTTTATTCGGCAAAATTTTATCGATGCTTCTGAGAATAATTTCTCTTCAATTTAAGCATATTTATTAATGTAATCTTCATCTTGAAGTAGCGTTCTCTATTTATTTTCTTTTTGTATACTTCTGTTATTCGTGTTTGTTCTTTACGTCAAATTGGAGAAGAAAGAGAAGAGGACTTATTTTCTTCTTCTTCTAATATAGTATCTTTCCCATGTATCTATCCTTACTTTTCTTTCTTACATATATTTTTTCGTTCTTTCTTTATTCTTTTTTAAAAACTAAAGAAATAAATAAAATAAATTTTGATTACACTTGCGTTGCGTTGTATCTCTCGGCGATATTGAGTCGCGGTGAAATTTTCGAGAATCGCCAACAGATTCGACGAAGGTATCGTCGCGTCGCGATGTTTTTCCGTTTTCTGGCGCGATAAGCAATGATGCTCGGCGATTAACATATCCATGTGCATCGCTTTCGTACCGGTTTGATCATCAAACGCGAGTTTTATCAAGCCCCCGACTTATATCGTTTCCGCCATCGTTGATTTATTTGCCGATCGCGTTTCTCGGTTAGGCATTAGTATCGGTTACCTTTTCTCTTCCGCATGTATACGTACGCATGTTTCGCATTGAATTTCATACAGTCGTATTACCGAACGATTCATTAGTGCTCACGTCGGTGAAAACGAAAAATGGTGTACTTGAACGCGAAGGATATCCGAACGGAATGCAAGTCGAGGCGGTTTTTGTTCACGAACAACGTTGCTTCTCGCTCGCCGAGAAAATCGATTTCACAGTTGCAGCAAGATTTCCCTGCGAAATGTACGCTCGAAAAAGATGCATCGTCTTTCCCGGCTTTCCAATTCAGCCGAAAATCTTTTACGTTATCGCACACAACTGTGATTCATGTCAATATGCCATGGAAATATATATATATATATATAGTAGTAGAACGAATGAAACTGAGCAGAAAAGTCCTATACCATTTTGCAAATAATATGCAAAATTTCGAGTTATCAATGATTGAAAATGGTCATGTATAGAGACTTATTTAATTAATAACTCAACGATTTGCGCGTTACTTGCAAAATGGTAACAGACTTTTTTGTCCCGAATAGTCTAATCTACAAGTATGTGACACAACTATTACACCTAACGACAAGTTCAAGGATCAATATACTGATGTCTGTCGTTATGTACAACAATTGTCATATATTTGTAGATTAGGCCGTTCTGAACAAAAAAGTTCCACTTAACAAATATCACGCAAATTTTTGGTGATTGGGTGATTTGGTGAAAAAGATACTTCGCGTGGGTTACCCCCTTAAAGGTTTCATATAAGGCCAAAATTTTGACTCAGCCAAGCTGAAAAGAACTTTCGGAATAAATATTAACGTCCTCGATAAGGCAGGAAGATATGGTTATTATAATAACGTCTGAATGGACTTATTTTTAGAGTTCGGAAGCGCCGAAAGTATTGAAATATTTCAGCACTGCTGGACGGAGACGACTCACAAGCCGGTGCTACTTTTTGTTTGCAGCTTCGACGAGACGTCGATGGACAGCTGCATATTGGCTACCGTCGACGAGGGCCGTGTCATCAATGACTTGTCGGGCGAGTCGATGAAGGACAATAACGAGGTGGAAGTGACGTCACTCGAAGAAGCCAAGTCGGTCATAGCGGCTCTCCGAGCGCGGCAACGAGCTCAAGCCCAGCAAATGCTAGCATGGCGGAGGACCCTCAAATTACAGGTAAGTTTCAATTACGAAGAAGAATTTTTACGAACCCGCTAACCTCCTCTTCCAACATCTTCTTCGACCGCGTGGAGACCGCGGTCGGGGAAAAGGCGCGATCGATCGGAGCTATTACCCCCTGAAAACCATAAAACACGCCCGATGTTACGGACAGTGAAATATTAGATACATGGTGATCCATTTGAATGGCCACATATCTTCGGCACGAATGTTGCTCGCTTCCGCGTGAGACTTTTTCTTTCGTTGCTTGATCGAACATCGATCGAGGCCTCATTAAAAAGATACTTAAAGATTCGCGCTTAATTGGGTTTTCTGTGAAGAAAAATGTTTCGTTAAACGGACGATTTATTCCCAATTCATCGAGCGATTGCTCCGTAAAATATTCCTTCGTATACATTAATTTCCCTGACGATAAGAGGGAGTGAGGAGGAGAGAGAGAGAGAGAGAGAGAGAGAGAGAGAGAGCACCGCTGCCACGAGTCATCGCTATAAAGCAGTTTCCGTGCACTTCCGGGATAAGCCGGGGCCTCTCGTGACATCCTACGATTTCGCGTCTGACTTCGCGTGACTGCGGACGATTCTCGGTTTTGCGAAGTAGTCTCGCGAAAAAAGGAGACTCCCTCACTAAATTCGCCGGGGGAATAATTGCTACACGAAACGATCCTCTTTCTCCGGCTATCCGGCTGCGGGAAATAGGGGTGCGCCGGTGAATGGCCGATGCAGATTGCGAATAACGACTTTCCGTGTACTTTCGTCGAGTTCAAACGGTCGAATATTAATACGTCGTGATAAATCTGTTTTGGCGGACGGGCAGAATGAGAGGCGTTTCGTCTCTTTTCATTCGCCCGTCTTCTCTCGCTCGAGAAGTTTTCATTCAGTTTTTATACATTTTCTCCGCGTATTTTTCTTCGCGGAAACTACTTCGTTTTGACACGATACGTGACAGTTGGTTGTAAAAGAAATCTCGAGCTCGTAATTGTGCCTCGCTAGTGTCATTAACTTTTTACCTCCAATTAAATTACCCGGGCCAACTGTATAGTCAAATTGTTGATCCAATGCGATTTTGACTTGATCTCATTCAATCGCAGTTTATGCAAGGAGATAACTTTACAAGACTCGGTTCTCCTCAGCCGATGTTTCTTTTAACGCAATTACACGTCGACGTATTTTCTAAAGTACAGTCAATATATTACTGGGAAGCAATTAATAGTAGTCACTGGTGGTCGTAAATATAGTACTGTAAATCAGTAAAATCTTGTTGACAGATTGAATGATCTATTTCCAGCGGTAAAATGATTCAAGAGCGCGCGGAAGACGAGGCAAGGGGAACAACGCGAAGCGGAGCCTCCCAAAAATCAGCTGGAAAGTACATCGCTTGCCGAGCTCTGCTTTAAGAGAATATTGCAAATTAAAGAGAGCATTGTAAATTACGTCACTCAGTGCGAGGCAAACACGATCGACACGAGAGCGGAGGTGATCCCGCTCTCTCTCTTTCTCTCTCTCTCTCTCTCTTGGCGGAGAATGACATTTCGCGAATGTAGAATCTGTCCCTCGAGGTCGTTCACTCACTTGCACACCTACCTACCCACCAGCTTGCGGTGAAGCGTCTCAATTATTTTCGTTCTCCCCGTGTCGATCCGCAGGCGTGATGCGCAACGACGATAGCACCTGGCCGTCCCACCGCCATTTACTTTGCACAATAGCGGGAGTAATGGACTCGTCCTCCTTGCAGTAGGAGGACGTCGGCGACAACGGAAGGAAGAGAAACACTGTTGTGTGTAAGCGCGCGCGTATACCGTTGCGCAAACGGTGCAACGACGCGGTTTCCACGCGTATCGATGCAGACGGAATGCGCTCGTGTCAACGAGTGATGCGAGGTCGAGCTCCGCGAGCTCGACGCGAAGATTCGACGTTATGTCTACACAAATAGCGTAGCGATCTAACATATACCGTCCCGCTGGTAAACGACTCTCCCCAGTCTCCTCGAACGGTATTCTGATCGGCCGGGTTTCACGGGAACCGGAGGACGCAAACGTTAATAATGTAAAGATTGCGCTCGCTAATTAATCATTTAATACTCCGAGCGAACGGAGTGAAAGCGAGGCAACGTCCGTGGAGCTCCGCCGCGATCGCTTCGTTATTAATTACTGACGCAATTTTGACCTTATGTTAAATCTTTCATTGTACAGTGAGAAAAAAAATCGGTGGAATTAAGGAGATTCGACCAAATATAAGAGAAACCTTGCGTAATGTGTACATATAATACAAAAATTAATCGAACTAACAACGCGTGACAGAAACTTCAATAATCTTTACCGTATCGTTTATATAAGATAGAAATTAAAAATAAAAACTATAGTAATAATAAAATAATAAAATAGACATTTAAGCATATCTCAATGAAGTATTACATAAATTTACCGTCTGGTTGAACAGAAATTTGTGTCTTTTGATGAGAATATTCATGAAATCGACAACATATGAGTAAAAATATGGTAACATTACATATATGAAAAGTTAACATCGGATTTAAAATAATCTCACGTAACATCTGACTCGTAGTCAAAAAATGTCGATGTTATTTCGCCGCTCTCTTAAATACACCGAATAATTTGCGTCTATTTAGATAGAGTTCATCGACTAGCTGTAGAAACTGACGGTGCTACACTTTTCTCTCGAACCTTTAATTCTATAGATTTTAACGCTATTATAAAACAACCAATTTTGACGCTAAAAGTGAAAACGGAGATTAGAAAAAATCGTCAAAGTAGAAGTTACATCATTAGAATTGAAGTTATTTGGCTATCACAGCTTCTACTATATTATAGAGTTAAAAAGCTTCATGAATTTCGGTCCGTACGATACGGTGCAGTATGGTACGAAATATTTCAATCGACGTCCATAACGATTCGCAGGAAGACCTGGTGGCACGACTGACGCGCGAGAAGGCTGAGCAACTGCGAACGTTATCGTCGCAGCTTCTGCTGTTCGAGTCAAGGCTCTGCAGGAAGCAAAAGGAGATCGAGGCTAGTCTGAGTCAGCGAGAGTCCATTATTCTGAGACAACAAAGGGTGATCCGGCAATTACAGAACAGACTAGCCGAGAAGACCACCGGCACCAGAGACTCGCCACCCTGCGACGCCTTGGATAGATTGGACAGTCTGGGCGACAGCGACAGCGCCGTGGTGCTCGAAGAGACCGCCGACGATCCAGCTCCGCCGAGGTGCGTGTCTTTAGAATAGCACGAGGCTCCCTTTTAATCTCGAAGTTTCTTCGGAAAGTAGAGTAACAACGAAAGTGACTATAATTTCCGTGGGATTTCTCTGAGTGTGCACAATCGTACACTGGATGGATCATTCGATTGGCCCGCAGGTTTCGTTCCAACATCACCGACGTGACTGTGATTCGTTCCGTGTCGGACGCGGTGGAGCCGTCGAACAAGTACTCGTCGATGAGACGGTGCAACGGTTTCCTCAGGAGACCGGAGATTCTGGAGACCGTGTACTCCGTGGAGGAGGACGGCGACAGCGAGAACAATCAGGATCCGTCCGAGTCGACGGAGAATTCGGAGTACGAGGACAGGAGGGCGAAGAACTTGGGCAACGGCAAGGGCAGACTCCAAGATCTCTACGGTAGTTTCGAGAGGCTCGCTCAAGAGACGGATTCACCGCCCAGCGAACGACCCAGAGACGAGAGCCAGCAGGCGCAGGTAAATCTGTCAACGTTACAGTCAAACTTTTATCTTACGTAAGATCTATACAAAAAGAACAGTGTGTTAATCGCTTCTACGTTATCGAGTTTGTCGCTTCGGCATCTCCCGGAAATGGAAATGACTATAATTTTCATGGGATTTCTTTCGATATGGCACTTTCACGCGAGGCTAAATCGATGCTTTCGTAAAAACCCGACTCATTTGTGCTTCCAGGTGACGTACAATAGGGTAATGAGTAACCACAGATCTGTGACGAAGCCAAAAGATGTCAAGTACAAGAGGATAAACAAGGCGAAGTCGAAGAGTCTCGAGGAACTGCGGGGGCGACTCAGAAATTGGGTCGAGAAAGGGAATAAGATAGCTATATCGTTAGATCAGTCGTACGCTTGAGCTTACATTTCCTGAAAGTATATATAAATTATTGTTTCACTTGAAGAAGCGGGAATAGATGTTAACGCTCACGAGTACGTTGCACCTCTTGGAGAAGAAACTTCCATTCTATTTACGAGATCGAGAGAGGTGGACCTTTACCTTTAGCGAAAAGTCGCAGTACGGCGTATTTAATTGAAATATCATTGCTACATGTGATATTTACTGTAGTGTTTCTCCACGTTAATCGCGCACTTAGGTCAGAGACGAGCGACTTGTGATATGATTTTACTGTATACAAAGGGCGTAGTTAGGAAGAACTTATTATCGGAACGAGAGAAAAAAAAAAATATATATATATATAAATAAATATATCAAAAAATAAAAACTCGAAGAGGTATACATCCGTGTGCTACATTACGCGATAACACAGGGGAATCCCTATCTTTGTCGTTCACATCAGCAAACTTGTGTTATTACGTGCGTTGCGATGTGGCGTGAGGGAATCTCATGCAGCCTAAATTTCTCGATGATTCTCAAAGTTCAAGGCTACAAAAGTAGGAAAGTTAACGAAGGTAAAAGAGAGACGACATCTAACCACGTTTCTTCTACACAATTACATCGAAATCAAGCACGGTTCTACAAAATAATATCGAGTGTCATCTTTTAATTATTGTTACTGTCATTGTTAATTGAGAGATTGATCGTGCGTTTCGCCATCGATGATCCAAAGTATTCGTTTTTCTGCGTATAAAATTTCACCGAGTAAGACCATGAAGGAGGACTACGAATGCTCATATTGATCTACACAATCAAGCGTTATTTTTGGGTTTACTTTTCTACGCGAACAGATTATTAAGGGCATTGTTACCTCTAAGATTTCTATCTCTTGATGTTCACTCAACAAACCTCAGAGAGAAATACGATAATTGGATTGCGGAAAGACTCGATATTTTGACTAAAATGTATAAAGAAGTTTTTATCCAGTGATTGATCCGGAGAAGGCGCGTATACTCGCAAGTGAGACGCTCGGCTCTATCGGAAGCTCCAATGTGTATCGCTTCAATCCTAATAGGATGGAAAAGTCAAAACCAACATACACACAGCGTTTTAAAAGCGTGAATATGTCTATATTGAACCGCGCGCGAAATTTTGCAAGAAGTTCGGATACACTGTATAAAATTCAAAGACTACGTTTAATTTTGTATTGAATGTAAATTTATATGCGCCACGAGTGTATACACATTCACACGAGCTCACACACACGGTGTATGGCAGCGCGTTTTATAAGAAACATATAAACCTTGCGTGATCGCACTCTTTACAATACTATTATACACACGCGTTCTACCATTCCCCTTATAAAATAAGAAAGTATGTTCCGACGATCATACCTTCGACTGCTTGCGACGCATTTCTTCTTATTACGGACGCGTCGCTCTGAACTATTTGATTATCATGCTCTCGAGCAGACGGGTATATATAAAGAAAGCTATCGACAATCTGTATTTTTGCAAGACACAATAGAGGAGGAAGGAGCGAATGTTTCTCTGGCAGTACCTTTGTAAATAACCGTTATATGAACGTAATGTTCATTTAAGGATTATACAAGCGCTATTATGTAGATAGACCTATTATTAAAATAATAAATTGTAATAATATTAAAGTGAGTTTTATGTTCCTGTGGACTGACCGGCAGTCACATCGAGAGATCTCGTGCATAATATATTTGTGTATGTGTGTGTGCACGCGCTATACGAAAGGATATGCGTACGAGAGAATATATGCGTGTATAAATATATAAACATAACTAATGTATATTATCGAGTTTATTGCGAGTGATGCGGAAAAATGACGAAGGTATCTCTCTGCAAGACGCGATAGGTAAACCGTGTGTGAAATTAAAGGCCACATCAGCTTATCACCATCTAAGTATACACGTGCAATGGTGCCCAAGTACACATTGAGAGTCGATAATTATTTTTATTTATGTAAAAAATCATGTAACGTGTATACTGTCGCTTTACTAGAAAATCAATAGAATGCTACCAATATTCTTCTCACGCTATTATTTTAATTATTATTAAATCCCAAATAAATTATGTCGTTTGAACACATGGATGAGCGTGTATTTCTTTTTGTTCCTTCTATCACTGTATTTTATTGAAATTATCGATAATATAATGATAAAAATATAATCCGTGAATATATATTTGCATAGTTAACTTCTAATTTCACAAAAAAGTTCACTTTTAACTGATGGCGTTTTCGATTTGCTGACTCGACTCGGGCAGCGTTCCAATAATCTTTGCAATACTGCAATCTATAGTAACGTATACTATAGTTTGCAACGATTAGCTGCCCGAGTCAGTAAATGCCACACATTTTGTGTCAGCTTAATTATTTTTTAGGCAATTAACTTGATTAAAAAAAAAACCTGCAGCTAAGAGAGAGGGATAACCCGCTCTCATACGCGACTTTCTCGTGATTTCGTCCCAATGAACCCGTTTATTATAAGATTAAGATACCAATGCGCAAGACATTCGGCGCGCGAATAGGAAAAATGAACTCAGTCATTTAATCGCGCGCTTATAACTACCGCTCATCGCACACACCGGTAAATCAGTACAAACTCATACCTATAAATATCGGGTCTTCCTCCGCTAAATATACTCGCGGGTGAAAGTGCGGTTCATCAATATTACAAAGTCGATAACCACCAAGACTGAAGTAGCAACCGAACCCGACATTTTTTCATTTTGCTACGTAAAGATATAATCGCACTACCGGTTAGGATTGAAATTTGACCAATCAGAGCAGAGTTCACTAAATATAAGTTTAGCGAAGTAGAGGTTCGCGCGGGTTCGTAAAAATTCGCTATATCTATTGGGGAGCCTATCCGACTGTCGCAACAAGAGTCGCGTCTGCTTGCAATTAATTTGATTATTCTCTATAAAAGATCTATCAAATCTAGGGAATAATGATTAGATTGCGTTTTTCGGATACGCTAAAATGTGTTCCGGTATTCACTGCCAACACTACAAATCTATAGATACGTGACAGAAATTGTAGATTCGCAATACCGACAGTGAATATCGGAACGTACTTTGCCATACTGAAAGACAACCATATTGCAGAAACTCCCTATTCCCGTCGATAGTAATCGTCGGGTGGTTACCTGCTAGATCAAAGAACGGCACGCGGTGATTGGTACATTTAAAATCATCATCGATGCTCTGGCATTGACCGCCATCCGACGAGTTATGGCTGGAGTGTACAGTGCGCGCAGTACGAGATGAGCTTTTCGTAAGGAGGTTGTCGAAAAATACGGCCTACGGACATGTTTCTCGTGGTATTTCAGATGCTGTACTTATTCGGCAAATACATTTACAATAATTATCGCGATAGAAAGGCTCCTTCGAGCGATGTCGCGGAAGGAGAAACGGCGAATCATGTCGTCAACAACGATAACAGAATCCAAGTTGAAATTGATGATGCAGAGCTTCTGCCGTTGGAAATATCACAGATTGTGAAATTCTCGCCACCGGCGTATATACAGAGGTATTTAGCTGTGGCGAATGTACTCAACGATCCTAAGTACGGGGGAAAATTGCGGAAGGTATCGTATATGCAACTTTGTCACATTGTGTTGTTACAAATTTTCGTTATGATATTCAGTTGCTCTACGCTATAATTGCACAATTGTTTTGGTTCGCTAAAGGACACGTTACCAAGTGCTTTGAAAGACTCAATTATTGTCCGTCTTAAGTTGATGTTGCCCAATGAAATATGATATATAGGATGTATCAGATTGTACCGTGCCAGTTTTATCTGACCAATTTGCAGTTAATACTTTGGGATCATATCGATATTTGTCGTGTATTTTCTATGCCAAATGTATTCATTTTGCAGTGATCCTAGAATTATAAACCTATTAAAGAGTTTGCTCGGAATTATACAGAGTTTATTATCCCGTCATTTTTCTTCCTACCTTCTACCCGTTGAAATTGTAATTCGAGGAAACTTTATTTTCAACTTCACTTACTCCAACTGGGAAGCTATTGGTGTTTTTATTAAAAAACAGTTGATCCTAGTATCAGGTAGAAATCCTCAAGACAATATCTGGGATATCCTGTATATATGAGTGGTCTTGTACTTACAATGCGGAATTATTGTGCCGAGCAAATAATTGTTATTATCAAGACGTTAATATGACTGTAAATATTCTGAATATTTTCAACAGGTTGTGGATTTTGGATGTTCAGAGCTAGGTTTCCTGCCCTACTTGAAAAATCTTAAAGGAGTGGAGGAGATAATCTTTGTCGATGTGGATAGAAATGTTCTGCTACTTAATAAAGCTAAAGCTATGCCACTAGTTTCTGATCACTTTCAGCATCGACAAAGACCGCTTAAGATTGAGATATGCATGGGCAGTGTGATACACAATGACAAGAAGTTGGAGAAAACTGATGCTGTGGTGTGCATTGAATTGTATGTCATATGAACGATAAAATCTTTTCATCTTCATTTGTCAGTAGAATGCTAAAATGTGTAAATTCGTTACAATTTTAGAATCGAGCATTTGTACGATCATGTGTTGCTCACTGTTCCTATCAATATCTTTCAATACATCAGACCAAAGGTAGTAGTGATAACAACGCCAAATGTAGAATTCAATGTACTATTCCCGAATCTCGCTGGTGGGTTCAGACACCAGGATCATAAATTCGAATGGACAAGAAGACAGTTCCAGAGCTGGTGAGTCGGATACTCTCTTCGGGCAGCTTTCCTGTCATCGATCCGCTGATCACTGATCTTGTTTACAGGGCGGAGAATATCGTGAGGAAGTACCCGTATTACTGCGTGAAGTTCCAAGGGATCTGCTACGGACCCGAAGACACGAAACACTTGGGCGCGTGCACGCAGATGGCAATATTCGAACGGGTCCAGGAACCAAATATCATAGGAATAGAAGGAGTGGAAGGATTCTTCGAGACAATAGATACATATATTTATCCCTTCACCGTGGACAAGCGTACGGACAGCCGGAAGGTGTTAGATGAAGTGTTATATTATGTCAATTTCTTAGCGCATGAGAATGAGGAATCACCGAACGTGGTTTATCTAGCTAAGGTGAAGACACTGATGAAGAAATATTGCATATCGTTAGAGGTATTAAAAGACATTATGTGTGAACATGGTTACATTATCGAAGAGCGTGAGAATGGCCTGGCGGTAATTCTTCCTGACGAAAGCGAAACCGATGAGATGTACGTGGAAGTCAACTCGGAATATGATGGATCAACTATTGGATCGGATCAACTATTGGACTTGCTATCTAGCGAAGACGAGCAATTAGTGGAAGATTACAGTACAAATGGAGATGCTGAATACGAAAATGAAAATTGGAATAATGAGTCCATCATTATCTTGGAGAGTCAAGCTGTTCCCAAACAAGAAAATAGTTATTTATTTGATGGGGAACATTCAGCAGACCGTTATCATCCATCCGAAGAAATGGCTGCAGCTCCTGATATCAGGTTTCCAAGAAGAAACAATACGGAAGGACTGATCGAACAAAAAGTTCCGCGAAATGCCACTTCAAGCGCGGTGAACGACTTAGTTGATAATATTGCAACGTATAATAATAGCATAAAATCCGGTTTGCTGCCGGTTACGTTGGAGGACGTCGATATGAATTTGAGCAGTGTACAGGATAATGATGACGCAATTTTTCAATCGTATTTGTCTATTTCCCGCTCCTCGACATCACCAGGTCTTCTATTTAATCCCGAAATGGACGACTCGTTGATTTCCCAGAATTTGTTAAATAACACTTTTAACAAATCTGAAATAACGGCAACTACGATTGGAAAACCTGTGGAAAACTGTTCCTCAATCGGAACATTTTTTCTGGAAGAAAAAGACTTTTCAGATCATTCACCTTCGAGTTCTCTCGAGGTAAATTATAGTAGTAACGTCGAGCTAGATGACATTCAGCTATCGATCAATCGAATCTCAAAAGATTGCGATTCAGCAGAGACGGAGTTGCAAATTAACTTTTACGATGAGCCACAATCAACGAGCTCACCTAGAAAAGTACATTACATTAATCCCTCACCTAAGAAAGTGCACGCTACTCATAGCACTAAGCGGAGCTGTTTGGAAGGTGACGACTTGATAACCGCATTGGAGAGTTATACCGAATTAAATTCGCCAGAAACACCCGAGCAGGTTGTACCGGACGTACTAGAAGGCATTGATCAAGAGCCTTTGTATGTTACAGAAACAACTGATCCGTTTCAGGCAACCTCTGACAAAAAGAACGCCACTTCTAAGCGCGAAACTGACTGTTCGTCTAGCAATAACTCACAGCGAGAGTTGCGCTTAGAGAATAATGTAAAATCGTGCGGCGACCAATCTACCCTCGTAGACTCGCTGCAAGAAGACTGCAACGAGGAAATCGCAGAAAAGGAGAATCTAATCAAACATGAGACTGATGATATCGTGGATGTAAAAAGAATAGAATATCGCGGGTCAAAAGTAGCGGCTATGAAACCGCATAGCGATGACACGCGTCTGAGAAACGGGAAAAGCGAAGGTCTCGCGAGTGTAAGCGGCGAGAATTTGTTCCAGGATTTTTCGAATAGCAAATCTTGGAGCAGCAGCGACGAACGCTCTTCGTCAGTGTGTGCCAAAGAGAACAATGGTTTGGTGGATAGTTTTAAATCGTGTGACGAGGAAGATGTAAGTAATAAGATAGTACAGTTCGCGTCACCGCCGAAGAGTGATACGAAGGACTCTACTTGTAAGGATGTAAATACATCGAGCAGCACCGAGGCTAAACCACCTTCCTCTCCCAGCTTCGAATCCCCTCCGGATAGTTGGTCGCACGAGATCATGGATTCCGGTTACCCAAATTCAGCCTCCGGCCAGGACATCACGCCGGAGAACGACCTGTCCAGCATAGCCCAGGATCATATAGCCGACACGGAGGCACCGAGACTTGGCGTTCCGGAGCCGGTCGAGGTGGAGAACGGCGACCTTGCGAACAACAACAGGGACGACGAAGGCAACAACATGATGGCTGCGGACGCGAATGACATTGAGGGTTTGCAGCCGCTCATCGATGTGCTCGAGAACGATCTCGAGAATGAGAATGATATCTACGTGTTGGAGAATGGTTTTCCCATGTGGCTGCTGAGAATATTGGACATGGCGAATCCGCTTGACTTCGATGTGCAACCTCGACGGAATCTTCATCGCGAAGTTGCAGGTACCTTCCACAGTTTTTCTCGAACATATTAACCATTCCCTAGCCTTACATATAAGCTCGAAAATATTATCATTGCTGCCATTACGCAATATTAATATGATGAATTATGATATTAGTGTAGTATATTATTTAGCAAACATTTTCAACATTATGCTTCTTATCCTCTCGTGTTATTCGTGCGTTTCAGAAGTCAAATATATTTGTACTTTTGCGTGTTATTAGATGTTCACTATATGGACCACGACGAAGGTTTCGATAGCAGTTCCTCCGATGAATGATAACGATACATTCGAAGGAGGAGATGGGGAATGATAACGAGCTTGGTGAACAAACAAAATTTCTTAATCTTAATAGTGGAGAAGGGAAGTGAGGAATAACGATGGATATATATGTATACATATGTGTGTGTATATATATACACATATGACCGAGACGGTTCAGTGTAAGCCTACATATCACTTTTCGAAGCTCGCGATATGGCCTGCGATGTCAGCTTTAAAGGTAAAGTTACACATTGAAAGACATTTTTACTTACATTTTAGATATTCTGCGGACAAACTACATGTCCTGGAGAATAGTTCTGACAAAATTCGAATAAGTTTGTCGTTTATTCAAATTACGTTCCAATACCTAACTACCTCCTTCTACGCGTATTTTTTTTTTTACAGCTTTGTTCACATATAATATTAAATATTTCAATTCGATTATATAAAATGTAATATTTTACATAATGGTAAGGCAAATCTGGTGATCATTTGACAGATATTTTGCGATAAAGATAATTTATTATTTTGTTTTTGTTCTACAATAAGCTACAATAAGCATGTATATTTCTTTCCATTTTCGTACACATCTTATTTTTTTCTTGCGAAATTCAAGATATAACTGTAAAAATTTTGTCACACGGTTTCTTTGTAACATAACGTATTAATTAATGAATGATTAATAATGAGGAAATATCATACGTTTCTTTCTCACTGAAATTTAAAAGTTGAAATATCAAAACTTCGTACTTATTAAATATATATATATATATTTTTACTATTCAACACTTTTTTATCGAATTAATTGACCAGATGTCGCAAAGTTTCCAATGGAGTCTTTCATCTCTTGATGTAACATACGAGAGTTTATTAACATGTTAAGTTTTTTAAGTACATTAGATAGGTCTAATATACATGTATATGCGACATCTGATACTTAATTAAATGTCCTATCTACCAAGGTGATAAATTGCTAATGTTGAAACTTGTGATTATTTGATATAATTTATTGAAGCTTCCTACATACCTAAGACTGAAATTGTATATAATTACGTTCGCGATGATGCAAGGACTTTGGGACAAATAAATCGATATGGAATCTGGATAGAGGTGCAATGTCCTCAGTTAGTTTAGTATTAACTTTAACCTAGTAGACGCGAGAAGAAGATCACGAGATTCTCGACATTAAATTTTACATGGAGAGATGTGATATCTTTCTTTATTTCAATAATAGTGTAGAATGGAATTACAGGGTATACAATGGTTCATACGTAGTTACTCTAAGACTTTACACGATTCTGTTAGTAGACAATTTCAACTGTTTTCTCTTTCAAGTATTTACAGAAATGAAGTCTTCCATTTTGAGTAAGTGATTATTCGTGTAGAGCGTAAGCCAAGGGTGACCATAAACTTTGCTTGCAATCGTGTACTCGTTACATATTACGCGCCTTGATTGGTTCAACAACGCGAAAATGAAGTAAACGGTGCTTCAAATCAACCCCCATTATGATGGCACAGAAGAGTCGTGTGTTGTGATTGCAACATGAACAGTTTGAGTAATATTCCATTTTACGTAAACAGTTTCGAGTGTTTCAGTTTTACGTAACAGTTTCGAGTGTTTCCATGCAACTCCGTATAAATAAATAATTTGCTTAAGTAAACGTGTGGCACGACTTACGAAGCTAAGTTTGATAGTCGTGCGTGCGTGTGTGTGTGTGTGTGTGTCACAGGTATGTATACAGCAAATTTATCCTCGAAACATTTATATACTAGACAAAATTACACATTGATGCAATTGCATGTTTAAGTAGTGCCTTAATACCATAATCTATGGCTTTGATAATAGTGTCCGTCTTGCTACAGACTGTCGAAACAGAGTGCAAATTGTAACCGAACTCTTGAGTATCTTTCTCGCACCTAATACATCATTTACAAACGTTTACACGCGCATCTATTCTCTAGATTCTTATGGGTAATGCTTCACAGTAAGACGACGGGGAAGGAAGATAAAATATATTACATGCTTCGAGTGTTTATCGGTGACGGGAGGGGACTACATGTAACAACTAAAGTAACGAAAGCTCCCTCGATATCAAACCTAACGCTATTTGTGTGAGTACGTAGCAATAATTATACATACATTATCATACGTTATATAATTGGTCAAGCTCGGAAATGAATGAATAGCGGGCTTAACAACAAAGACGTATACTCGTATGGAAGAAAAGAACGCACTCACGGTACCTCGGAATGTTACGTTGTTGTGATCGAGCTAAAATTAGTCAATAACGAAAAGTAAATGGAACGACCAATTTCTCGGTAGTCTGCTGCAATTATAAATATACCGATCGCATATTTTTGTTGTGTCACTTGAAAGCACTGTATGTACATATACGTATATATATATATGTATATATATATGTATATATATAGTAGAAGATCTCAACTGCACTTTCCCCCTTTCATACTTAGACTAGTTTCATACAAAACGCGGCATGTATACATATATATTTATTTACTCTTACTTCCTATTATTGTAAATAATTCATCGCGTTCGAATACACAACGCGATACATCCTTTCCGATAGATTGCCGATCATCCGCGTAATATCATTACATAAACTTTTATATCGAGCAGTGTATCTCGCGTGGCTGGCTGAATGAAAGGAAGAAAGAAACGTAAAATAATATCAACAAGAGTTATCCTCGCAGCACTGTAAAACGAAATGAATAGACTTTGGACAATCTAATGATAGAACCGTAACGGAAATTTTCGAGAGAATATCAGAAAGTGCGACTGTCCTGGTCGATGCGCAGTGCGTGTGATAAAGAATGCACATTGAGTTTTGTCAACAAGTCGCATATTACACGTAATTACGAACGTACGTCATGCTCGCATGTCTGCACTTGACATACGACTCGTCTTCGAGATATACGTATTCCTCCTTCTATCAGCATTTTGTCTGTGATAGTGAAAATATTAGTGAACACATGTCTGTCGAATATTTTTTTCTCAGGACGAATAAGGAGATGAACTCGATATTGCACTTTTCACTCGTGAAATTATCTCTCCCTGAATTTTATCATATGGAATGAAATTTTACTCGAAAAGTTGGAGCAATAACTGAATCGGACTTGAGTGATTCTTCACTTTGAATCGAAATTGTAGAGTGAATTTGATGTGCAGAACATTCCATTAAATGAAAAGGATCCCATTTAATTCCTATATAACCGGTAGTAAAATCCTTTCTCGATGAAGCATTTTGTACTCCACTCGGAGTACGGGGAGAAATTGTCAAGATCTCGCGTTTCGAGCTTAGAGAAAGACTCGGCTATTTTACAAAGTTGTTCTATGTGAGAATACTTACTGGATCACACAATTTCCTTGAGACTGTCGCGAGTCTCACGGTTTCGAGCGTGTATCAGATTATGTAGATCACCTCCGGGTGCACTGTCGCGTCTCAGATCTCTCAATGTAGCTGGAGCCAAAACCTCTCTCTTGTTCGCTGCCTCTTTTATGCTAGACAAAGTTTTACTGAGCCATGGCCAGCTGTTCCGCGCAGCTTGCAGCTCGGAGGCTGTAGCGTGCAACTGATGCGTCAGATCCTGCCGGTTAGATAATTGGTTAAATTTCGATATATATTCCGCGGCAAGAACATATTATCACTCACCTGATTTCGGCATTCTGCCTCAACGTGAGCCAACTTTGTCTGTGCCAGCTCCAACTCCAACTCGCGCACTCTCTCCTGCACTCTATGCAGCATAGGATCTATTCGATTCTCCAGAGGATGCGCTATGTCTGCCAGTATATTCGACGAGTCCATTATACACGTTCTGCATTTTTCGCACTTTGAGACTTTTGTCTGAAACATGTTATCGTCTTAATCTACACAAAGATGATGAAGCGTTGCTTTAACGTAATGTCCACGTGAAGGACAGGATTACCCACTCGTAATTCGCTCAATGTCGTCTTCGCGGCATTGTAGTCATCCTCCAAGCGTTGGCAGATCTGAAATATGCGATGTTTGAAATTCTACATGAGACACCGTAACGTCAAGTGGAATTAGTACCTGCTTATATTCGGCTATAATAACATTGCTCCTACGGCTCTCGGCGTCCGCCCGGGCTACTTCGCGTTGTAACATCTCCTTAACTTGCAATAGCTCCGCCTCCAATCTCTGTTTTTCCTCCTCGTTTCGAGCCACTGCACCGCGTAATTGTTCCACCTCGTTGCTGTATTCGTCGGCATTCTCTTGTGCCTCTGCATCGAAAACAAGCCATTCCCACTTAATATAATAAATAATTTTTATAAGTATATATATTACGAGTAATATTAATCATCTAACTGCACACGGAAAAAACGTTGATGTAACTGAATATTCCGTCGCTTCCGGGAATCAGACGAAAACTCGGTTGTAGAAAAACAGGAGGTTTATGCTCAGTAAATCGCTCTCAGTTGTCTTGACCAATGCGGCTGAATCTTCACAGGAATTTTCTCTGTCGCGATAACTAGATATCATTTCTCGCCACCGAGTTTTCATCCGATTCGGTTGCAGGAACTTTTTTTTCGGTATATGACGTTGCTTTTACACAAGTCGTTCTTTAAAGCACATATTAACTTTAACATTTATATATTCACTTTGAGAATGTCACATGTTTTTACTTGCTCATTTAATTGTACTTTTGTACGTTAATTTGGCTATAAACCCACATTTTGTTTCGAGACATTCCTATCTTTCAAATCTGATATGTGCATTATATGCAACACGAAGTAATTTGCAAGCATCGCACATTATATAGACACATTTATTACGCTTACTCTTCATTAGCTCTTTTGCTGTGTGGCTCATTCTTGCACCAGTGGTATGCTTAAAACAGATGTTCCGAACGTAACCCACAGATACACGATATCTCATTAGCACGAGCAATCGCTCCTGCTATATGCTGCTGTACAAAATACACTAAGGCCAAATTTAAACCACTGACATAGTCGATATTACATATCTCTTGCCTGATGATACATCTCTAAAATGTGACGATAATATGGACTACGAAATATTCGCAAACATCGGAACTTTTCTTTAATCTTGTGACACTATCGGAAGTTTGATTGTCAAAATTATTCAAAAATTGTCGGATCTCGTCTTATATCTAGATTTCGGAGATATTTTTATCTCGTGTGATATTCTCCATTTCTTATAATCCGCACTGTACCGTATTTTTTAAATCGTTAATCTATTGATATAAAACAATTTTTATTTCTAAATCCAGAATTTATGCAAGTGATATTTTGCGTTCGATGTGCAAGCGTGAGAATTTCCAACTTCGATACGATACGATCGATGATACGACTATACAGTATGTGGACGTGTCGCTGTTACTTATCAGCCAGCACATACCTCAACAATCTGGTATGACTGATATATATGTGTGTGTATGTATATATATATACATATATATGTATATAAAATTAATACAGATAATAGTTCTGTAACGATATTATATCTTTGATAAGATTTCTGGATTATATCTCTCTTTTGATTATGAATACGTATTATCTGACAAAGTTATATCATTTTACTTTGCTTGTCTACGTTAATCGTAATATATAATGCTAGTGCGCACATATATTGGGATACTACATTATTTTTATAATAGGTGTAACCACACAGGAACTAGTTAATACAGCACAGTTAGTTCGGCATAAACAAGTGCTGGCTTGATACCACGATGCGCCATGCATATTTACCCAGATACAGAGGGAAACGAAAAGGCAAGAAGTACAGATATCTATGAGATCTATTGAATTAGGAACGGGATATATTATAGCGGATAAAATAAACAGGTAATTCATAAAACTGAAAGTACGTGTAGGATGATTTATTTTCAGTAAGCAATAATAAATAATGTATAAATAAAAAGCAGTACAAGGTCACATACGGAAGCAATACGGCCGATAAGCAGGGAATCTAATAACAAACATAATATTTATATTAATACTTTGTTTTTTCTTCAAAATTTGCACAGAAAAACATAAACATCCTTTGAAAAATTAAACTTATATAACAGAGAAAACTTAATAACGTAAAAGTTTCTTATATAACAATCAATATTAATGTACCATTGCTCACAGCACACATATTGTAAAGTGATAGCACGAGAAAAATACAACGTGACGACTCTTTGATTTCTAGCATGAGTATTCAATACCGCGCGCGCGGAGTTGTGATATTTTCATCAGTTGTCCGCCAATTCACTATTACATTCAATCAGCAAAGTCAGAGAGAGAGAGAGAGAGAAAGAGAGAGAGAGTATGGCGATTATCAATCTAGCGATAATCGAAAGTCCTACTTTGAAAAACAAATTATTCGTGTAATATTTATTTCGATATGAAATCGTGTTACACACATTACGTGGCCATGAAACCACTGAATGACAGGTTCGAGTGGTATTATATTCATATTATAAACGGCGAACTATTTACATTAATGATATTACATAGTAGTCTGATGAAAAAATATATTGTGCTCTTAAAGAAAAACTCCATGTTTTTTCTCGAAAGATAACGCGTCTTTTCAAAAGAACGTACCTTTTCACCATGTGGCAATATCTGGGTTAAAAAAAAATAAAACGTGTACAGAGCGAAGCGACCACCACCTAACAACGAGGTAATTGTGCAATGCCTGCTTTGTGTTTCTTAACATTTAGTAGAGAGCTGTGTCGCAAAAATTTGTTGTATATATATATATATATTTACTAGAATATTTTTTCCAACGGATTATAAATTGACTACTCTGTGTTTCTTTGTGAGACTAGAGACACATTTTGTGTTTTGGTTCAGAAAGTGTTTGGTTTATAAAGCATCGTGTCATACGTGTTTCGTGCTTATCTATTCTACGTACGTCGGACATTTTAACGTTTAATTTTTGTTACAAGTTAAATTTATAATTTCTATTGTTATGGCTGTTATTATTACTATTTTATTATTAATTTAATCGTTATTTAAAATTCTCTTGTCCCACGTGAGATAACGAGTTAGATTTGAGTTTTTTATTTGAATGATATATGTGACATTACATTTGTAAACGCGATTCAGTTGAAAAGCTCACATCCAACTCTAAATTTACATTTAACTATTTCACCTGAGGCAAGTAATGACTGAGAAATATTGACCTAAGCTTACCCGTCAAGAGTCTCTATTTTGTGACTTTTGCCACTCATAGAGTGGGAACTACATCCTGCAATGGGACGCCGCATCGCAGCGATTACGTATATCTTTGTGAGCGATAATCCTTGCGCTAATGCTAAAATTCGTCGTACTCTTTGGTTTTAAAAATACACCTGGTATTGTCTAAAGCTTTCTGCCCATATTGAATTCACAACCAACAGGCAACAACAATAAGCGCTCCTGACTTATAACAAGGACGAACTCACAACCAACAGGCAATGATCACTGGATATGCCATACATGGAGATACATGCATGGATAATAGTATACAGTGTAGTATACAGTATCGTCAAATAAATTGGATTTAAAAGTGAACCGGGGGGTGTGTGCAGTTCAAACGTAGAATATGAAGTTACCTTTCAGTGTCATAAATTCTGCCTCGTACTTCTTTAACTTCTTCAGCGTCACCGAGCAAGCTAATTTCATGACGTAGCGCGACACCTCCTCGTTCCGGCAACGTTTCGGTAAATGCACTCGGAAGTACTTCAATATACTTTCAAAATCCAATTGTAATAGCTCCTTTTTACACAACTACAAGGGAATATAATTGATTTTGTGCACAGTGTGTATTTGCTTGGGACATATGTAAGGAAATACTGTTACGTCAATTGATAACTCATCGCCAACTTCTTTCAAGGCTGTGTGAGGACTTACCATTAACAAAGCGAGAGCAACTTGGAATAGTGTGTCGAGCCCTTGTAAAAGAAATACGTCCAGAATATGAAAAACAAGGTATAATGGAAACCTAGCGGTAAATAGAGTTAGAAACCATTGTGCGGCGAACATGTGCGTTTCTACGCCGCGATCACAGAAATGCTTGTATAATTCCGGCAACTGATCCTAGAAATGGCCAGAAAAAGTACATTAAAAGTTGACTCTTGTCATTATATATACAATAGATTTGCAATATTCACCTCTATCAAGCGATTTAATTGGTAAAATCGCATGTGAAGGTTGTCGAATCTGTCCTTGTATAAATCTCGAAGACCATAGTCGTACATTAATTTGACCAGAACACAGAACGCTTGTTCTTCGGGCATCTGCAAAAATATATCCAAGCTTGTTTTTGTTGGTAAAATTACTCTGCAAACTATTACGTGCCATCTATAAATTCAGATCTACAATAGGTATATAATAAGCTTTTACTCTAAGCACTAAATTGTAGCGTAATTTCTAGCAAAAGCATTTCCAGCGCTATCAGACGTCGCAATTCCGAAGATTTAAACGTTATTACGACTTTTGGTGCAGTGCGAGTGCTTTTTGTCAGAAATTACATTTTATTGCTTCGAGCAAAAAGTCTATTGCAGTTCTATGAAAGCTTATAATGTTTACTTACATGAAGTAACAGACTAGCAACTAAGAAACTAAGGCCTTGACAATATCCAACTTCTTCGTCATGGACAGCGTATGCTTTACTTATTCTGTATAAAGAGTCTTGGCCTAAACCGCCTGTTTCTTTGAAGAAATCGTGCGCCGGAAATGTTCTATTGATGTCTCTTAAAATCACACTCTCGCAGCTGCTCTCCTGTGCATACATACATTATCTCGGAATTATATCAATAATACTCTCATATATATTTTATAATTCATTATTATAAAAAACATATATTTTATTGAGAAAAGATATAAAAATGTATTTTTGTACCTTAGCTTTAAAAAATAAATATATTTATATCAAATTATTTTTGAGAGCTCACACGTAAGTACTCACTTTTGTGATCAACATTCTGTACTTGTCCATCATCTCTTGTGAACTGTCGCAATTACTCAGGCGTTGCCAGACTTCGCCGCGTAAAGCTTCAGGTATCCCTTGTTTCGCGAGCTTGACGAGAAGCTTCGGCCGTTGCTCGTTCACCTGCCAGCTATCTAATACCTCAGCCCAGCTAGCTAATTCGTCCGCCGAGCAGTCCTTTGAGACTTCACCTGTACCACTAAGCATGGGTTCATCCCCGTCTGGAAATTGACAATGTATTTTGTATCGTCGAATTAGCAAGCCGATACTTCAGTTTCGCTCATTACCTGAATCGATTTCTTCTTTTGGCGTAAGTGTGTCAATACTAGTTACAGACGGTGATCTAATTAAGGACGCCAGATTCAGTGCGAGGTTTAATCTGTTTCTATCTAATTCGCCGGATGTTTCTATACTTTGTACTTCGTAATGTACCTCCGTACCGTCTCCGGAAATGACCTGTCGCAAAAAGAACGATTTCCCAATTATGAAAAGTAACGACGAGCCGCTAGATACTTGTGAAATGCAATTTCTCACAAGTGTACGGCTCACCTCTTTGGAGTTAAGATAAAACTGTTGCACGAGATTTTTCTTGTTAAAGTACCAAAATCGCTCGTTTTGCGGGAACACTTTGACCGACGTTTCAATCACAAATCTCACCGGCTCCCGAATGTCTCTGATAACGAGATCAACGGCGACGGTTATGAAAATTTTTCCCTCTCTAGGCGTTTCTATGTTAAGAGTTTCCAATGCGGGATCGGCGGGGTCCCAGCGTCCGCAAATATTATAGCACTGTTTGTCTTGCATTATTGGTCCAGTATTAACTTGCTGTAAAATTGTCGTGATATTGCGAACATCCGAGGTGATTATAGACATAAAATTAACTGGCTGGAGTGAATCTCTCGTTACCATCTCGAGTAGTCGCATATCGCTGTGCTTAACATTTCGTCCGGGGCTAACGAGAACTCCGAAACATCTCTCTACCTCGAGCGTAATACCGCCTTCTTTACTGGACACTTGCTGGATGCTCAAGCAAACTTGCTTCGCCACGTTACTTCGTAATTTGAAGCAATTTCTATCCTTAGGGACCGTACTAAAACCGCCTTTTCCATCTTCTTCTTTTATTTCCATAGTCACTTCAAAAATAAACACTCTGGAGTTCACTTTCTCGCTACCGGTGTTGAAACCGTTAAAATCACTGCCCGTCAGAGAATTCGTCATCGAACGTGGTATTCTGTGAAACGCTTTCGAAAAGCAGGCTGACACTTGTCCAACCTAGAGAAAGAGAGCGATTACAGAGATAGATTATAAGATAGATTGAAACAATAACGCGATACCAAGTGAAGCTCTCACATATTTCGTCTCAATGTAAAATATATAAGCGTCAAAAATTACGGAACGGTCGAATATCTCGAAGACTAATTTTCGAATAAATGTTTCTCAGACAACAGTCTTGAACAGGAGCATTTAATCCATTTGGTCTTACATAGCGTTGTCAAAGTCGGGTCAACTTGTGACTTTTTTTTAATGGAATCACAAGGTTTTTAACATAAAAATCGACTCCTTTAGTTATTCTGTGTATAAAAGTACCAGGGTAAGATGATTGAAAAGTAAATACTTTCCAAGACATTTTATCCCGATATACTTTTCAGTATAAGATACGAAATATCTCATATTCACTCTTCGACAATCCCAACATTTTTGTATGTGAAAAAAAAATGAAAAAAATCGATCAATGATACTCATAATTATTGCATCTTGGCGTAAAATGCATTCGCAAAGTGCACATTTTTTTTTAAAGCTTCTCAGTTTTTTTTTTCGAGATATTTGCTCCGGAATTTTTGGCGCTCACTTATATAGATTACAATGAAATTATAATACTACAATGCTTCGACATTTTTAATGCATATCTATGTTGTTTTAATAATAGATGCTACTGAAAGATATACCGCTTCTGGTATGTCGCAGCGAAAAACATGACACTGATAAATGGCAGATTCCAAAGTATCACCGTGTGACCATGTGAAAGCGAAACACGCCGCGCAAGTACCAGTGCTCTCACCGCGCGCATAAAATAATATACGTTGTACCTCATAATGGGCAATGGCTTGCTGCGTTGCAGCATCGTATAAACTGGAAAAATTGAAACAGATATTACTTTGTTGTTGCATATAGGAAGCTGGATCAGTTTACTTACACGACCGAGCCTTGTGAACTACTTGGGACTGAGACGGAAACTTTGATCCCTAAATTCAAAGATTGCTCCGCATTCAATATATGCATGTTACGTTGTATTTCGCTTTCCGATTTTGGCGCATTTATTGCAGCTGCTCCCAGGTAAGTGACACCGTTGAAAATGGTGCATTCTTGTTGAACGTGTGATAATGTGTTCAATTCTATCGTCATAAGTATAGATTTAAGCTCGAAGTTTGTTTTTATTTTGCAAGTATTTGTCACATTACCTTCTTCGATGTAATCTTCAGGCTTCATAATATCCTGTTTCTCGGATGCAACAAGACAAGAGCTAACGTCATAGAATTTGCTGTGGCCTACTTTTTTCGTTTTCTGTTTACTGGCACCTGTCATCTTGAATTCACTACACTCCATCTTCGAATCCTCTGTTAAAACCTATCATCACACAAAGCAAATAACTATACAAATCTATTGTGTGATCATGCATCTATCATTGATTTGTATCAGACATTTTCACTTGACAGGCCTGATAAGCTTACAAACCTCACGAAGATTATTTTGCAGATCCTCTAGATTGCCGTTGTTGGCAATTTTTAGCATCGGTGGTTCCAAAAGAGCTTGCTGCTGCTTGCTGGTACCTCTCTCATTTACGAACTCATATTCATCGCTTGTCGCCACTGATTCCATGGACTTTACACTCATGCTATCCTCCATAACTAAATCTGCAAGATCAACGTTGTCCTTCATGATTGTAGGATTTTGTTTGAAAGAATCATCAGGTACAAGCTACTGATGTTACATGAGTTATGCACAGATTATCACGACTAATCTCAATGAAAGAATCATCTTACATAAGAGAAGTGATCTTATATCCTACTTTTCGTGCTTAGAAGCGGCGTGTGATATTTACAAACATCGCTTTCATGAAATGATAGCGCAGATGTACAATTGCCTCTCTCTCAGGAACACGAGTGACTCTGTGCGTTGTATCTTTAATACAATATACGATGGAAACGTTTTCCGGTGAGAATGACGAGCGAGGGAAGGGATCCAAGTGAATTTCTCTTTCTCCGCGCTACGCTGGTGGGTCAGTACGGGCCATTAGCGCGCGAACGAGTAAAAAGAATCCCTCCGATCGCGGCTAACGATGCAAAACAAGCAGCGCGTGTGAAGAAAGTTCGCATCACTGTGCCGAGCGACGACGCATCTTCTCCCGATGGCACGCGTATTTCGGACGGAAGAACTCTCTGACCAGAGGAACGGGGATTACCCTTCCGTGTGCGACTTGAACATCCACCGCCGCCGCCGCCGCCGTTCGCTCGCTCGCTGTCTCGTGCTCGCCCGTCGTAAACTCGCGCGCGCTTCCCACAGCAACCACTCCCGTATTCCGACCGATCGACCGACCTCAGGCGCGTCGCGTACGTATCTCTCTCCTCGCGACGGACATTTACATGATTCCTGCGATCGGTGCGTTTGACAGAAATGATGGCATCGGCCATTCGCGCATCGGAAGTGCCGCTGTCTGGATTCTAAAGCCCGTGTCAGACTACAGATTAGGATTGAATTGATATTTCTCCAATCAGTGCGAAGTTCACTCAATTTCACTAAACCTGAGTTCAGTTAACTTTGCACTGATTGGCCAATCTCAATATCCTAATCCGTAGTTCGATACGTCGCACTAAGATTGGATTGATCGCGTTTAACTAAACTTGAGTTTAATGAATTTTGCTCAATCCAATCTTAATTCGTAGTATGACAGAGACTTTATGCTGAAATCAGTGCTCTGATTGGTCAAATTTCAATCCAATCTCAGTCATTCAATCAAGTCTAATGCGAGCTTTAATGGAAATCATTGATTATTGGTCCGTTAGATCCCTAAATGTAAATTAATTACGTTGATTGTGTTCGCGAACAATGACTCTCGCGCGATATCCAATGAGAAAGCCCTATGCCGAATCGGCTACGACAAAGTGGAATAACGATCCGATGGGAACCGGCCGTGAGCTCTGGGAGCGGATCGCCGGGCAGCACAACGATTGACGTCACGAACGCGATAGGCGGCCAAGATGGTTGTCAATGTTGATAAGTAGTTTGGTTACTCGGAGGAGCAGTGATAAGGGAGTCCCAGTGCGGCGCGGCATTATGCCCGTCAAGTAATACGGGGCCCGTGACTCGCTGGAGGAGCCGGCGATCGTTGGCACACGGCGAGGGATGGCGGACGGCGAGGATGCGACCGAGCAGGAGATCCGACGTGCTCTGGACGTCGTGCAGTCCATGATCGACATCTCCGCCGATCGACTGGAGGGCCTGCGGACCCAATGCTCTACCAGCGCGGAGCTCACCCAACAGGAGATAAGAACGCTCGAGGTAACGAGCCGCGCTCGGCTTTCATTCCTCGACGATCGTCCGCGCCTATCTGTTGATTTCTCGATACGTCGGTCCGTGTTCATTCTGTATTTACCTCATTTCGACGTGCTTCCCGAATGGTCCGATGAGAGCGTGGTGAAATTTTATCTCGTGACCTGAGTCGTTGCCAGTCGTTCCTTCTCAGTCGTCTGAAATTATTATTAAAAAATCAATATGCATACATGATAGAAATTACATATATTTCGTAAGTCATCTCTATTTGTATTTATAAATATAGGGGAAACTCATAAAGTTGTACGCTAAGCAACTTGTGACAAAGGCCAAATTGGCTGCAGACTCGTTACCAGCTGAGATGAGACAATATCCATCGTTGCAACAATGGTTACGGGTTGTTGGTCTCACCCCAGGATCAATCCAGGTAACAGCGTACGGAGATACGAACAAACGATTTATTTATCGCACACACAAGATCAGTGTGCACATTACTTTAGATAAATTTTTAGCAATATCACAGAGAGAGTCTAAGCCTCTTCTTTTATTTTAGATCGTTTGTTCCAAAGCTAATTCCCTTGAAGCCCTGAAAGAGAAGTCTGAGCACGAGTTAAGCAGTATGTTAGGTGAAAATAATGTACGATATGAGGAGGAACTTCGTAGACTATGCAGAGCACTGCATAATTTACGGAGATACATAGGTGACTGATCAATCTCACTGTAATCTTAATTAATAATTGTTGCGTGGACAACTAGCGTTATACTTATTATGTTTCTCTTAGATGTTCTTGTGAGAGGAGATATGGAAAATAACGATATGAATTTATACTGGGATTCTTGGGATAGACATCAGTTACGTACAGGGGCCTCTCCAAGGCCAATTCGATCTCGTACTACACGGTGTTCCGTTCCATCGGAAGATAGCATTCCATATCATAATAACAACAATTTAAACAGTGATATCTTAGCCCAAGCTTCTTCAGTATCATCTTTGACGTCAACTAGTCCTCCCTGTACCCCGCTATTATCAAGGCAAGGATGTGGTGAGTGTCCGCAACAATGTTCCTTATAATCAAGTTTTATTGCAAATATATATATATATATATATATCCCACAAATGTATCTAAAGCATTTAATCGTTCAAACATTAACGACGTATCTGTTGTGCAGATTGAAATTTGCTATCCTGATATTTTAGGCTTTCGCGGTGTGTAGACATGCTTAATTGGGCTTCCGGGTTGGTGCCGCATTCTTCGATATTTCGTGAACATTCCAGTTCACTTCTTCAGGAAGAAGGGAATGTCCTTTTTCGGGAAGAGCAACGACCTGATGACTTTTCAGGTCGTTCCTTTTCCCGGAGATGTGGACCGGAACGTTCGCGAAACGTCGAAAGCAGATCCATGAAGAGCGCGGCACCAATCCGGAAGCCAAATTAAGCAATTCGCTATCCTGTTTATAGAAATTAAATGTCCAACAACTCCTCCACCATGCAAGAAGCATCATATTGGTGTTCAAACTAGAATGCCAAAACCTCAAACGTTTCCATTAACTAAGTCAAAATCTCATGAATCGCAATTAGCAGATCGTCTTGAAAATGGAGATGCAGCGTCTAGGTAATGATTAGAATACATATCTTATTGTGATATTTTTTTACAATCTGTTTTGCACTAACTTATATAACGGTGCATTGCGCGATTTTCATAAAATACTCGTAACGTGCTAACACTGTTGCGTTATATTTTTAGATGCGGAAACGACTCTCACGCGCCATTTAGCGCCGTAGGAAGAAGAAATCGTTTGCCGATGGAACCGGGCTCATGCTATAACACAACCGAGTTTGGAGAAAGTCTCTTGCCAAACAGTAATAGTCCTGTTAAATCACCACCCTCTAACGCAGAAAGTGATGATAACAGCTTTAAGGGAACAGGTGTGTTAGAAAGAGTAGTTATATTTTAGAGTTGTGTGTCGTGCATTGCACAATAATTGGAAAGTGAAAGTTTTGGCCAAAACTCGGAATTTTAAAAAGAATGTTTTTTTAGATGTAGAAAATGTTTTTACAGAAGAAAAATAATTATTTGTAAGTGATTCAACATTTATATCTCACTTTCTTTTTAGATAAATAACTCGATTTTCTTATGAATAATTTCTTCTAAACGGTGTATCATTTTTACGATATTCTTGAATACGAAAGATTTTTCATAATTTAGTCAAATATTTTTATTTTCTGATTCCCCCGAACCTCATACAGAGTCTAATAGGACACATTGTACTCGTTTAAAAAAGATCAATTGTTTTCAAGGCGCAAAACGAATATAACAGATTTTAGTAGTAAATGTTGATAATTATTATACAACTTTAAAGTTTCTCCAAGAACTTTCAGAAACATTAAAAATTTTTCCTGAATTATTGGCAAGAAAACACTTCCATTGCAAAGTTACGCTTATTTCAATCACAGATTTAGTTATTATTTTGCTTCAGAAATAAGAAAAGCATAACAGAATGTGAAATTATTTACCTGGGACATGTTCTAGCATATTAAATATATATATATATATATATATATATATATATAATGCCATAATCATTCTTAAAATAATATGTAGCACAATTTTGACAGATGTGAATACATGTTACTTTCGAGTAAGCAATATTTTTAGCATCACATTTACCAATGAATGAGAGAAAAAGAATAATAAATGATGATAATTTATGATTATTTGACTATAGGACATCATAAACCGCGCTCGTATCAATTTGAGGTAAAAAAAAAAAAGAGTTTTGGTTAAGAAATATCTATCTTAGATTAGATCAGAGCTCGGCAAGCGATGCATTTTCCAGCCGATTTTCGGGAATCTGCCAGTGAAGCGACGAGGCAAGGGGAACAACGCGAGACGGAGCATCGCTTGACAAGCTCTTCTACAGATGATGATTTTGTGTTTTTACTCGAGATGATTCACAGTGCCTCTCCTATCTTCCTTTTTTTTCAGTAACAAGTCTCCAAGTGCCAAAATCTCCACGTACTCCGACTGTGACCCGCGGCATGGGTCATATAATTGCTCACCGCTTTACCAAAACTTTTAAGATGATGACAACATGTGACTACTGCGAGAAGCAAATGTTCATAGGCACTGGTTTAAAATGCAAGGAGTGTAAATATAAGTGCCACCGAGATTGCGAATCCAAAGTACCCCCTTCATGTGGCCTACCTCAGGAACTCTTTGACGAGTTTAAACGAACTGTACAAGCTGATGGTGAGTAGACCGACGGCGCTGTAATATTACGCGTTTCTGTCTATATTTTCCTCCAATTACCAGTATAATTCAAAGAGTGTAACTTGCGAATCGTCAAGTGTGACATTCCGCGCAGTGATAATATAATAAACAGTTCTTATCCCTCTCCCCTCTGTTAGTTGAAAATGATTGCATCCGATATCTAGCGACCAGCTCTTCTCATTGGCCCATCTTTTTCACTCTGGTTAAATAATTTACAGGTATGATAAATGCTTCCCCGATATTAAGCAAGCCTGGCATAACATCTCCAAATCACCATAACTCAAATTTATTAGTTTCTTTAAATCGGAGAGATCGGAAACGGTCACATCCACACTCTTCTATGAACATACCTTTTCAGGTATGTTATCGCTTGTGTGCTTTAGTTCATGAACGAATATGTGAGTTGTGGCATTTTGTACACTAGGCGTTACGGATGACGCGACCATAATTGATGTTTTAATATTGACCAGATGCAAAATCTTCGTAATATGCAATGATCACTTACTGTGTTTACACCACACAGGGCGCAGATTCTAGTTCAAATACTTCGAGCTGTAATAGCTCAACGCCTTCTAGTCCAGCATTGCTACCTGCCAATACTAGCCAGACTCCACAGGCTCCTGTCAAACAGCAGTTTCATTTCCCAGGTAGAGAGAATTGTTTGATACTTACATTGTCGCATATTCGTCGGCTAAATTTTCTTCGGTGTATGAAGCCAAATCAGTTATTCTGCTTACAGATGTCGTACTGAATGAAAAGGGAGTGACATTGGAGACGCACAAGCTCGAAGGTACAACAATGTCGAGTGACAGCGAGAGAACGGTAAGCGTCTCGGGATCTGGTAGTGTCAGCACAGATTCGGAAAGGACACCGGTGAGAGTCGATTCTCAGGATTCTCAAGTTTCCGACGGTGAACCCGGGAATGGTCGTTGGCCTCGGCAAAACAGTGTATGTATTACATCCTTTTGACGAAATTTGACGAAAGGATGAGATATTTAATCATCTGCACACTGTAGTTATCGATGCGAGAGTGGGACATTCCATTTGACGAATTAAAGATTGGCGAGCCGATTGGCACAGGAAGATTCGGCACCGTATACAGAGGCAATTGGCATGGAGATGTTGCAATTAAAGTCTTGAATATGGATTATTATTTGGACGATGATAAGATATTAGAAGCATTCAAATTAGAGGTAAGAATATGTATAGTTATGTATGCCAAATAAATATTCAATTAAATGTTTCTCTATGAACAACTGGATGGACATTTCATGATTATTATTATTACAGGTAGCCACATTCCGAAAAACTCGACATGAAAATCTAGTTTTATTTATGGGAGCTTGTATGAAACCTCCTCGATTGGCTATAGTAACTAGCATGAGTAAAGGCATGACACTTTATACTCATATTCACTTACGAAAGGACAAATTTACTATGAATAAAACTACTAATATCGCTCAACAGATTTCTCAGGTATGATCGGTAATATTTTACATTCAGCAATCAGTTTGTGCATACATATACTCTTACGTTAATACAAAATTAGACGAGTATCGAATACATGACGCACAAAAGATAGAAAAATATTATACAAGATAATATATGAACACTTTAACACTCTTATTATGCGACATTTAAATAATAATTTTATCTTGCAGGGTATGGGATATCTTCATGCTCGTGGAATAGTACACAAGGATCTCAAGAGCAAAAACATATTTTTAGAAAATGGGAAAGTTGTAATAACAGATTTTGGTTTGTTCAGCGTTACCAAGCTGTGTTACGGAAATAGGTGAGAGTTTATGTTCGTTCAGTAAAATGAGTTTTTTTTTTTTTGCCAATTAAGTTATAAATCTGACGTTCACATATTTTACGTATATCTAGGAAAGGAGATGGACTGAGCATACCACCTGGTTGGTTATGTTACTTAGCGCCCGAAATCGTTCGACGATTAAGACCACAACAAAATCGAGATCAAGAAGAGTTACCATTTACAGCTGCTTCTGATGTATATGCATTTGGGTGAGTGATTTTTTGGATTTTTCATTATATAATTCCGAGTCAAAGGATTATGGGATGAAGAGTAATATATGAAAGACGTCGAAAAACGATGTACTTTACGACTTTAGGACTGTTTGGTATGAGCTATTATGTGGAGAATGGCCCTTTAAAGGACAACCTCCCGAAGCTATCATATGGCAAGTCGGGAAAGGAATGAAGCAAACCTTAGCAAATTTGCAAGCTTCTCGTGAAGTAAAGGTATAATATGCGTTTAAAACACACACTTATGTGAAACGTATCGCCATTTCTTCCAATTTTGTCCACTATTCGCAAATGTACCGTCGAAATTTCTTTTATCATTTTTTCTTTTTACAGGACATTTTGATGCACTGTTGGTCATACCACGCGGAAAATCGTCCTGACTTTGCAAAGCTGTTAACTACTCTTGAAAAGCTGCCTCGCAAAAGGTTAGCACGTAGTCCTTCTCATCCTATACATCTTTCTCGTTCTGTGGAATCTGTGTTTTGAATACATTTAAGTCTATTTAAATACGCTGTTGTTCTCGTAGTGTAAATATAGAACTGTGCAATTATTGCCAGGTCTTTGTTCGTGAAAAGTAAAATAAAAGTCACTAAAAGGTTTATTCGTTTGTATTATTAATTTATTAAAATGTGCAATGAAAGGATATTGATGTTAACACGATAATTGTTTAAAATCGTTAATTAATTGTAAGTGAATCAAATATATATCGTTTATTGTAAATAGTCATGGTACTAAAAATTCTGAAGAATATGATCATAAGCAGATGAATTATTTATATAATTCATATTTAAATTCTAAATATAAAATTTGCAATAATCACAAGTATCTTTTATGCTACAAAGTAATTCTTCAGTGCACGTTTTAAGACTCCTGGTCAGTTGCTGCGGCCATATTGGATTGATGATGTCAGAAGCGAGAAACGGCATGCTAAAAATTCTTGCGTGCTATTTCCACATTAAACAAATTCGTCCGAAAGAACATATCGCACACTTGTAAAATGCTCCGAAAACTAACCTTTTCCCTTGAATGAACAGTCGTAAAATGAGCCGTGGTTAAACCGATCAATGCGGTTGGTTGTTTAACCCCAGATTCCACCAATTTCGGCTAATCTAATCGATGTATAGACATATAACCTACACGCAGATATGGTATTCCGAATTCTCGCCGCACAACGTTCCCAAAGTCAACCCTGAATTTTCTTTTAGTTCCTGTAGACCTTTAAGAAATATTGGAGGATTGGATTTAAGATGGATATTAAACAGTATTCTCTGAAAACTTTTGATATTATTCAAAATAGACGAGGAAATACAAATAAAGTACATGTATATAGTACATAACTCAAATTACATTAACATATTGTATTGATTTTAATACAATGCAAATATTTCTTATTTTAATAGTAACATAAAAAGTTTATATTCCATTGTCACTGACTTTGTCAAAAATCTCTGGACATTAAGTAGTGTATTAAATAAATCAAGCTAAACCATATTCAGAAGTATAATCAACTTTATTAATCCAGTAAATATTTATTTTTAATTTGAAATTTTATTTTTAATATTTAACAATTCTCTTATCAGAAAACTCACGTCATCATGATTCAAAATATAATTGTTGCAATTTTCATCCGTCATACATTTCTCGTAATTCTTTCAATTTATTTCGTAGATGGGCAGCGCGTAACTTATTCAGTATTATCCTTTTCTCAAATGTTTGTATCAACGGCTTCGTGATAATATCTGTTATGTGGATCAATGCACGTGTCCTGACTATAAATGACAAGAATTATATTTGACAATTTTTTATTTATGTTATCAACGATCAATTACCAAGTGCTCATTTAAATAATTTATTGTTTCAATCTATCAACAGATCCATCTTTATTTTGTAATGTAAATAACGATAATACATACCAGCATTGTTGTGAATAGTTGCAAGGACATCTGGATGGTCTTTACATGTCTCAGCCATATCTTCTTCTTCTTGAACCAAAATTTTTGACAAATCCGTCATGGTCTGTAATAGTGCTTAGTTTTAGAAAAAAAATCAATTCTGCCATCATTCTACTAGATTTTTAATAATGCAAGAAATTAAAGTCTCACTTTTAAACATCTATCTGCAATGTCGTCGGTATGTATTATTTCTAATGGTACATCTATGGCTTCACCCATTCCCGTGATTGAACTAGATTGAAAACAATTTAAAAAGATTTCATGTTCCTGTAAGAAACAAAAAAAGAAATTGAAAAATTTTAAATACGATAAAACAAACAATTTAGGTGGATGAAATAAATTTTTATCTCACAAGGGGAGGACCAGAAATGGAAACGTATTTTTTGGACGAGAGTAAGCTTAAAATGTAGAGTTAGACGAATATATTAAAATCCTAGAATACTAGATGTAGATGAGTCGCCGGGTTCTGTTGCAAAATACTTTAAACTTTAAACTTTTTCCATTATCCGATTGATTTCGCCTTTTCTTTTTTTTTAATTATAGATTTTATCGAGAGAAAGAAAAAATTCTCCCCTTGTCAGTAACATGATCCACTTCAGTGGCTATGTCGCTAAAACTTTATTTCATTTTTTGGTGCAGATACTAAAGTAAGGAAAGTATATGTACTTTTGAATCTTTGCTTTCGGAAAATACCGAAAAGATTAAGCCTACAAAACTGTGGTCCATGGTTTGATAAGTGGCTTGAGTCCTGACATCTACAAAGTTGAATAATTCAATGTACAATAAAAATATTATTAAAACACACACACACACACACACACACACACACACACACAGAGAGAGAGAGAGAGAGAGAAGAAAAGTTTGAGACATCCTATATATTAGATATATCCCTTATACATGCACATTTCACATAGAGGCAGAAAGTTATTTTATTCCAATATATAATTGAATTTTGATTTTAGAAAAGAGAGAAAAATATTACATACCTACATGTGATGGGCAAACTGTAATATGTGGATGTGAATGATACCAGCCAAGTACACGCATAGGACGATTTAATTCTACTGTTAGTCGTTCAGCTTCAGCAGCAGCTTTTAGTAATTGTTCTGATGAAATTTCCACTCTGTCCTTCTTTTTGTCTAATCGTCGCAGAATGATAACAGCTGATATTTTTGCTACTCCATGTGCAAACTAAAATAGCAGTAATTGATATTTTAGCTGCCT